GCCATCACCAGCCGTGCCACTGGGTGCTGCTCAGCTGGGCTCCCACACAAACACTTGCATTGAATCTTGTACACACACAAACACACAGTACATTGACTGTTCAAAATATTCTATTAGTGACATTTTCCATCATCTAGAATTGAGTTTCAGCCTCACATGCACAACCGTTGAAAAAATGAAAATACTGTGGAGGATTTGTTGGACAGGTAAACAACCTATGATAAAGCTTATGTCAGCCACATAAACTAATGTGTGTTCTTCATGCAACATAGCAAACACCATATGGTACGAACATATGAAACAGTTAGCACTGATCATGAGCAGCTTTGCTCCTCACCTGATTTAGTAGTGGAGGTGTGGACACCTGTCTGTATACAATTTAGTAATGTTGGGAAGAATTACTAAGCAGGGCTTAGATAAGATAGGCAACCTTGTGTCCTTTCTCTGAAGTACTTTATCAGTTAGCTAAACCAACAAATAAGAATTTTCTATCATGCTTTTAACACACACTAGTTGATGCAACCACATCACCATTTAAGTAGGACTGGCATAAAAAATAACAAACGAAATGTTTGTACCAAGTCTTTTTGGAGTTTTATACATACTGGGTCTGCACTAGTACAGCCTTACATTGTATCCAACACTGATATATAAGTGTATTATAAACATATAAAAGTATGTTACCAAACTAACTGACAAAGACCTAAATGGAACCATTACAAACCATTAAACCTCATTAAAATAGTGTCTTTATCGCAATATAACACTTTTTTAATTCACTCCTTGTTCTCTCAACTGTTACTTTTTCCCTTTCCCTTTTTATGAAAAAATAAAACTTCCTTTACAAATGTAAAAACAAACTAATGTATAAGCACAATGATATTTATTTTCACTCATGGTATAATGTCAAACACTTACTATTAGATATTTTAACCCTAAGCTTTTACAGAGGGTAGAGGAGATCTGACTAAATGTCCCTTTGGAGATTTTTCCTCCTATTTCCTCACTCTGAGGTTATTTGATCCTCAAAGGGGAGGAAAACGAAACAAAAAGCACACAAACATGACACCACTGGTATAGCAGCTTCTCACAGACCACACATCGAATGTATGACTATGTCCTGCATCACTGAGGCACCATCACTGGCTATGATGTACGGTCATGGTTGTTTACGTGTGAGAGATATTTAAAGAGACAAATTGAGAGTGTGGTATCTCTTTTCAGTCAGGAGGGAGAAAGAAGAGATGGAAGCACAGATGGAGCAGAGAAAAAGACCAGAGTGTTTGTTTGTTTTGTTTGCCAGAAGCCTTTTTTTGGCAGACATTAAATACCAACAGACTATATCAATGTTACAAATTCAACCTAGTAAGCCAAGTGTTCAACAGCAAGTGTGACAGTGATGAAAAGACCTGATGTTACCTGATGACCAGGTAGTCGTGGTCATGTTAAGGGAGTGGTTTTCATTTACTGGTTTCTCCCTTCATATGTTTGGTTATGACAGTGCTAACATGTTAAGCTGGTATAATGCGCTCCTTATTCATCATTTGAGTTTAGCAATTTAGCATAATAACATTTGCTAATTAGCACCAAACACAAAGTACAACTGAGACTTATCGGAATGATGTTTTACAGGTATTTTTGTCATAAATAAAGAAATGTGTTTTAAATTTCATCCAAAATATTTTGAAATATTTCATTCAAAACCACAAATGTCAACCTCATGGTGGCACTAGAGGAACAAGTCAGGGGATTACCAACATGAATAAGATTCATTCTCTGGGTCTCAAGGATACTGTTAAAAATGTCATGGCAATCCATTTAATAGACTAATAGATATTTTAGTCTGAACCAAAGTGGTGGACTGACTGCAAATCAACTGACATTGCCATCCATTGGGCCATGCTGCTTTTTGCTAAAATTAAAAGTCAGGGAATCACCAAAGTCAATAGGATTAATTAGGCACGGTGCCAGGATTTCCAATTTGGATGTGCCAAGTCATTTTGGCTTGGCCTTTTAATTACAGAAGTTAATACTGTTTGCCTTCCTATGACAGATTCCAACTAGTGTCTCGCTACAGCAGAAATGACTGATATCATGCTGTGAAGGGCGACTAATGAGTATGGTTGATTATGACACTTTTAAAATCTTTTTCTCTAACACTTTTATTGGCGAAATAGCTTATTATTTATTACAAGCAGCACACATGGGTATATTGCTCAGATAATGAGAAAATGTAAATTAGTGTGAATAGTCAGGGCAAGATCTCGTTCCACGAGATCTCACAAGATTAAATTTTGATTTTATTTCTCTTCAGGTAAAAAAGCTGTCTCACAAGACTCACGCAATTGACATTTTTCACATGCTATCAAGCCACACATTAATTTTCTCATGCAGTGAAATACAAATGTAATTATAACTGATAAGATTAAGAGACTCACAGAGCGAATCAACTCCGCCCAGCTGATGCAACATCGGCGTATACCCTGATGGTAATCAACTGAACCGCACCCCTCGCGCTCTGAGTCCAGACAGCTCTGACGAGTGGTAACGTAACTGGTAGAGTTTTGCAACATAAGCATTACTCACGGCAGCTCCGCTTTAATCTTGAGAAGGTGCAGAGCTGCAGACTCTGTTCATTCAATTTACACTGTAAATATCCAGCTAAACTGAGGCTTTTTGAAGACCCTTTTCTCTCGCCTGTCATTCACCAGTCTTGTGCAGAGTTTAGCGTGCATTCCGTACTTCCGACAGCTGCATGCACGCACGCTATATGCATGCATATTTCAAGTAGCCGGCTGTTTAAGAATGATATAATATTCTTTATGTGGTTAATCAACGGTGATAAATTATCAGAAAGTCCCGCAAGGTGCGGACAACTTGGCACAACACCAGTGAAGCTGGTGCTCCGTCTCTTCAGCAAGTGTTCCTCTTCCGCCACTACACACATACTCGCTACGCCTACACATGCGCACCGACAACCCAGGGTTTTAACTTTAAAAACATTTATTGAAAGTTTTATTCTTTTTACGTATCATATTTATTTACAGCATTAAACATTGAAATGTATATTGTAATAGGCTGTATATTAACTTACTGGGTGAAAACTGGTAGTTCTATGTAAAATCAGATGTTGAGCACCCCCATATCACCAAAATGGCATGATCCTTGTTTCGCTGTGAAGGTTCGACTGTAAGATTGCCAGTCAAATCAGGCTCCGCCCATCGAAGCATCGGAACATCAACAATTTAGGGTCAGTCCTATAAATAAGTTGATCTAAAAGAGAAACAGGTCTGAAAGCAGCACAGAATGAGTGAGAGCTTCATTGACTTAGATTCTTGTAGAGTTAGGCTATAGAGTCAATTGTCAACTGCCACTTGAATTTTGTGTTTCTTTTTACATAAATAAAAACATTTTCACCATAAACTGGTGCAGAAAAAAATCATCAGAATGCAGTGATTAAAGTGTTTAATGCTCAAAGTTTTTATATAATTCAGCACTAAAGATTTCTTTAAAAGCGTTAAAATCTTGTCTCGTCTTGATCTCACGAACCCAATCTCGAATCTCGTCTCGTGGGTTAAGTGTCTCATCACACCCCTAATGTATAGTGAATTGTGTAGACCAATACATTTAGAACACTGACATGTTAATTCTATTTAAGGAAATACCATCTAGTTTGGATTATCTTATCCATTATAATAAAGTGTATCTGTCTCTTAGAACATCCTAGCAAACATCTAATAACACCATTACAAATCACCCAATGCACTCTGGTAACTACTACACACTACATATTGCTAGCATTGCTACACAAAAATCACATGACTTTCTTTGAGAAATGCATCCTTATCACTGCCAGGAGGTTATGTTTTTGGTGTCATTTGTTTATTTGTCTGTCAGCAGGATTATGTAAAATCTGCTGGTACGATTATGATTGCAGATTACTTGCAGATTTTCATGTCAAAGAAGACCGGACTACTGACCTTGCAGTAGTTCTGTACTCTGAGTGCCCTTCTAGTTCTATGTTTTAGTTTTCTCTAGCACATAAAACCTTAAGTGTCACATTAGACCCATATTTACAATGACACTACATTAAATAACTAATTAAATTATATTTAAGCAAACGTGTTTTACTTAACATTATGTAACAAACACACCACATTGTAACATGTTTCTTTGTTAGAAATGCATTTTTTGGTTTAATGGTGAAAGATTTTATAGTGTAAATTTAAATGTACACATCAGCTTTTTAGACAATACCTTTAATATTAGGGCTACTTGCTTGTGACATAGTACTTTCCAATTCATTTTCCCAACATTGTTTTATTTTTACAGTAAAATTGTGTGTTGTAAATATTATGACAGTAGCAATTACAGTTATGTAATGTTTCTTGATAAGCTTGATAAGCCTGGGCCAAAATAATATATCCTGTTGTGTTTGGTCCAGGCTTCTTCACATATGATAGTAGCCTAATGTTGTCTTTTACTTTTGTAGAACCTGAAACATTGTGGGGTTTTTTGTCTTAATTGTGTAAATTTTCATAGTTAAAAAGTTAAAATATGGGCCCAGGCCCATTTAGCCAGCAACAACATCATGCATAGGATTCATCTTCTGAGGATCACTGTGGATCAAAGTGTTGGACACACTGACAAAAAGTCCTGTGGCTAAAAACACAAGAACATAGGAGTTTAAATGAAAAACTTATTATTCATTCACATAATGTATTTGTGTGTTGTTTCCATAAGTATATAAAAATACTGCACATGTAGAGTCCCAGGATACAAAGCCTAATGGTGTGTCAAGCAGCCACACTGGTACTTTGGCAAATGTATATTTATTGTTTCTTGGTCTGATTCTGCAGCTGGCAAAGGATCTTTCACTCCTGAATCCAGCAAACACAGACTGGATCCACAATACTGACTCATAAAAATAAATATATTTTGTTTTTATAAAGAGACAAACTTTAGAGAAATTTAGTAACTACATTTTTTTGTGATGACAGTCTTTTGCATTTATTTTGTGGAGGAACACGAACACCATTTACCCCAAGCAATAAGAACAGAAACAAATTCACCAGCACAACATAAGACCCCACCCCCACACTGGAATTCAGTTTTGTTCAGTTAATGAGTATGTGTACTGTACTGCAGAACACAAGGACAGCAGGTCCTGTAGGGGTAGAGGGAACATTGTCAGGATTTGTGTGGCGAGGCAGGTTGGTGGACCCAAATGCAGACACGGGAACAGGCAGGTACAGTTCAAAGGGTTTTAATTCAAACAAAAGGCGAGCTCACTTACAAATGTAGTGGCTGAGTCCAGGGAATCCAAACCAACACAGTCCAAACAAAAGGTAAACCAACAGAAAATCCAGAGGAACAGGGTATAGGCAGGGTACAATGAGGAACAACCACAACAATAACTGGACAGGGAATGAACTGAAACACCAAACATTTATACACAGGGACTAATGAGAAGGGCGGGAGCAACACAGGTGTCTGGGATCAGGGCTAACGAGGCAGGCAGAGAGACAGCATGGAAAACAGAGACAAGCAGGCAGGTAGAGAGACAGCAGGGGGGAACAGAGAGACACTTACAGATGCAAAACACCATACATTAACTGGAACTCAAAGTATTTAGTGGACATGCAAGCAGAGGAATTACTGGGGGAACAGACACAAGCAGACAGATCACGAATACACTAACAAGGAACACAGACTGAAGCAAAGATAAAACAGAACTCAGATTAGACATGGGCAAAACACAGAAGTACACAGACCAGTAGTAAACACTTAAGACATGAACTAAGGTACAGGTCTAAGAACTAAGATACGAGACAAGACAGATACTAAGTAAGATGTGGATGAATAATAATAAAGGCTACACAGAGACTAGAGCAGAATGAACCCAAATCAGATTAATTAATGAAACTGGCAGAGAACATAAATAGACAAGCAGACAGAACTCAAGCATGATGGTACAGAAACTAATACATGAGACTGGAACAGAACTGAAATCAGGAAAATACCAAAACACCACTAAACACCACCTGACAGATAATAACCAGACAAACAATAACATCAGGTAGAGGACGCACACTAAAGGTAGCAACTAAAACTAAGTTCTAAACTAACAGCACAGCAAAAGGGATTCTAACTAATTAGACAGGGTGGCTAAGGGAGACAAGATAACAGAACAACACAGACCACGAAGACTGGATACAAGACCATAGGCTATATAACAGATACCTAACTGATAAATGGATAAACGCAGAACTAAACGGAACAGATGACAGAACTAACATGCAAATTCAAAACCAAACCCTCAGAATCAAAAACCCAAAAACACAGCACTCAGGACAGGATCGTGACAAACATACCATCTTGTCAAGGACACAGATGCTGCCCAACTGTTCCACTTACACTGGATCACACACACACACATTATTCCTCGCTCTCTCCTTCCATTTCACTGTTTATTCCTTCTCTTCTTTCCTTTCATGTATTTGCAAACTCATCAAGTAGAAAGTTCTGTCTGCAGCGGGACAGACAGATTTTTATCATGCTAATAATCATTCTATGTTTCATTGGAATGAAACAGTAAAAATACAGTATGCTGTTCCAATGTAATCTGCCAGGTATTTTATTAACCAACAGAGTGCATGGTTTTTTTAGTTTTTGTTTTTTTATTGGCACTCCCACTGCATCAACACAGTCATTCAAATGACTGAGGACTGAATTGGGATAATAATTCAGGCCAGGAATCTAACATCAGTCTAGGTGTATACCCACATTCACTCCATTCACTACAGTTGTTGAGTCTTTTGTGTTTACTATTTATGCCAGCAACATACCTTTTACTTTTAGTTTTAAATAAAAAATCCCAAATAGTTAAACACAGCCAGTTGTCTTCTGCTTCAAGAATTTGTCAATTGCACTTGCAATAATTAAGGCTGGCATTTCCTCAAAGCTCTGACTGGACTTTATCATCATGGAGCTCTGGTAGCTCTTCTTACTTCCAGCTGACAGAAGAGAGTATTCTGGTCTTTATTTTCCAGATTATTTCCATGCATAAGCATCTCCTACTTTCTGAGTTATGAGGGACTATAGCTGCCCTGAGGTGTTTTCTCTTTGATCCAGGACACCAGGAATTCTCCCAGTGCCTCAGATTGCCAGTCTGCATTTGAATGAGTTGGTGTAAACATGACCTAAAGATCCAGGTTTTACTGGATTGTGGCAATTTAAACCAAAATTATATGCACTATTAAATTATTTTTTAGCAATAACCATTCTCTCTGTGTGTATAGTCTTTTTCATTATTTGTCCACCATTTTCATGCAGGATTTAAATTACCTGGTGCACTAAATGTACAATGGATTGACAGGAAACGATACAGCATGTAATTCAGCTACACTGTTTCTCATTGATATCAGCATCACGGTTTCATGACCACTCTCTGGAACACACGAGAATATGGTTTTCTGCAAATTCATTTCTTTCATCCTTCTCTCTCTTTCTCTTTCACATTATATATGGAAATTAGATGAGATGAGAATAATGAAAGAAAGAACGAAAGAAAGAAAGAAAGAAAGAAGGAAAGAAAGAAAGAAAGAAAGAAAGAAAGAAAGAAAGAAAGAAAGAAAGAAAGAAAGAAAGAAAGAAAGAAAGTAGGAGCAGATAACAAGATTGCAGGGGGAAAAAATCAAAGATTTGAGGGATAATGAGGAGGGGGGTTATTGGAGGGCAAAGGAGAGATTGATGGAGTAGAGGTAAATAGGAGAACTGGGAGACAGAAAAAAAGAGGAATGGCAAGGAAGAAATTAATAACAAAGAGAGAGAGTTGTCTGCAGGTTATCCAAAGCTAGTTTTTTTTGTGGCACAGATTGATTATGCAAGTTGACAGAGGTTCTCTTTACATTGTAGCAGTCTGATATGCAAATTAATAATATGGTCTGAAACTGACTGCATCATTCGTATGCATCTTGCAATGTAAATGCAATGATCATGCAAGATTGCTATTATGTTAAAGAAAGTTAGACATTAGATTTTTTTGCCCCTCTCTGTTAAATGTTTACATTTTTTTTTTCATCACATTTTTTTCCTTAAATTTAGGAACTGACCTGAATTGGATTGAGTTAAACTACAGTAGAGTGAAATGAAGTGAAGCAAACCAAAGTGAATGAGAAAAAATGGATTTACAAGATAGAGATGCAGAGAGAGATGTGACAAACATTTAGTAAACTGAGCTCATAAATACTCATACTGCACTCCAGGTCCTCCAAATTATACCAAGCCCTCTAAAATTAACCAGCAGGACAATGTAATTCATCAGCGCCTTCAAAAACTGATACAAATCAATTTTATGATGTCATAACGCTCTGGTTAAGGTTTGGTTATAGGCATGAAACGACTTGGACAGGTTTACAGGGAACCTTTGTTGTGGTTACAACAATTACCATGTAGTTAATATTAGGGAACAATTGTGGTCATTTAAAAAACTGTCAGTTGGAAATGAGAAACGAACAGTGATCTCAGGTGTTAAAGTCTGATGTTTTGTTGACTCATCATTCACTTCCTTTCCAAACAGATTGTATTGCTCCATAATACCACTTGACTTTTTCCTTCGCTCCTGGCATGACTAAAGTGTAATTTATACTTTTGCGTCGAAACGATGGCGTAGCCTCTGCGTAGCCCCGTAGCCTACGCCGTCGCTTGACGTGCACCTCCTTAAAAATGTAACTACACATCGAGGCGACGCGGACCGTAAGCACTGGGTAGCCTCGCAATGCCTCCGAGCCGACAGGAAGTGACTTTATAAGTAACTTTTACCAGCGGCCAAAACGGCGGCTGTAACACGGTGGATCAATATATTTGACTATCACAATGCGAAATGACTCGTTTCACTATCAGAATGTGATCCTTTCGGTCGATAACATTTGAAAAGGCTACACCAGCCGCACGTATATAATTGTAAACACAATGGACGCTGTAGCGCTACTGCCGACTTGTGGGTGTAATTGCAGAATGACGGAGACACCGACACACAAGTATAAATGCCTGGCTACGGCGTAGCTACGGCGTGGCTACGGCGTAGCTACGGTAGCCTACGGCGTAGCTACGCACGTAGACCCTACGCAGGGGTATAAATCAAGCTTAATAAGGCTACTAGAGTGCTTTGCCACTTTAACGTAAACATATGTCATTTTGGGCCATATGCTGACAAGACTGATGCTGTCTTGGGCGGACAGTCTCAGATTCACAGGCTAGGAAAGACAGGAAACATATTTCTGCTGCACAAAATTAAGTTTATTTTTATTCAGTAAAATCTTCAGGCCTGTCAGTATTAGTTATTAAACAATCTATGAAGGTCAAATCACTTTGGCTAAATTGTTCATATATATCACACAAATGCAACATATAGCAAGGAGTTGCAAGAAGACATGACAAGACTTTTTATTGAAGTTGATTTTATTATTACATATTATTATAATTAATATTATCATTATTGGATTATAAGGATTTGGCAGAATAAACTGAGATGTTTATGCACCAATGAGGTTCAGTGAATTTAACTAACATGGGGGTGGAGTGAGGAAAGGTTGATTGAACAAATAAGAAAAATTAAACACAAAGAAAGTAGAGAAAGACCCAGAACAATTTGCCTGTATAAGCAGCATTACTGTGATCTAGTGTCCCTAACACAACGTAAATCTGCAGAATTGGATTTAGCTAAATGTATTTCCCTCCACACACACACACACCACCAGAAGGGCTGAAGGCTGAATGATGACTCTGTATGAGTGTGCATGAAGTGTGCAGGTTGAGCAGCAGATGACTGATGATCCCTGGGAGTTTACAGAGGCTCAGACCCACACTGTGTTGTTGTGAAATTCAGGTTCTGAATGTGAGCGATAGGAAATCTGAGTACACTTTAACATCTCAATGACACATTGGCATAGTGACTACTTCATCATAACATTTCTGCATTTTGCTGTCAATTTCCATTGCCTGTGAGTTTCTAACATTCCTGTAATTTCAATCCCTGTTACTCCCTGCTAGTCCTGCAGCAGTCCTCGGTCAGTTCCTACCATTCCATAAGCACTCCACCTGCCAGCACACCTGCTCCTCACTCCCCAAACCAGCCCCTCAGGGTCAATATCTGCTCACAAACACTAGTTCTCTGCCAGATTGTCCATTATGCCACCATATCAGTTCGGCTTTGTTCTTGTTTGATTTGCTGATTAATAATGCCTGCCTTTTTTTGGTAATGCCAGCGGCATGGCTCTAGGGAGTACTAGTGGATGGATTGCCAGGTCAAAATTTGCACTAATCCAATGTAATATCTTAACACCTACTGGATGTATTGGGACAATTTTTCATGGGGCCCAGTTTAGCTCTCTTGTCAGATTTATAAGGCCTTGTAATCC